ATACGAGGCGACCAATAAGGACCTGGAGGGAGTTTAAGGACCGCCTGTTGGAACGTTTCCAAACTAGCCGGAGAGGGGATTTCTATGAGCAGTTCTTCGCTTTGATGCAGGAGGGGATAGTGATGGAGTACCGTGAGCAATTTGAGTACCTTTCTAGTTGATTGGATCGGCTTCCAGAGACTGTATTGGAGGGAAGCTTTATGAAGGGACTGAAACCAAAAATCCATGCAGCAGTCAGAGTGATGAGACCTCAAGACTTAGGAGAGTCAATGGAGGCATGGATCTAGCTCAGTTGGTGGAGGATCAGAGTCACATGGAAAAAGGAGCAGGATGTAGCAGTTCAGGAGGCTCATACAGGATGACCACCACCTTTTGGCAAGCAAGAAACCAACACCGGGTACTCTTAGGGAGATTTAGAAGAAAAAGAGTGTCGGAGGAAGACCTGGAGACAACTTCAAGAAGTTCACATAAACAGAATTACAGGAGAAGAGGGCGAAGACGATCTGTTTCAGAAGTGATGAGAGGTATATGTCGGGGTGTAGGGGGTAAGGATCAAACTCTTCAGGTTCTTACCATTTGTGATGAAGAAGGAATGGAGGAGGGTGTCGTCTTTCCACCTTGCGGACAAGATGGATCTTTGGGATGGGAGTAATGTTAGACCAGTCTAGTTGTTCTGACAGGACCGGCCCAGCCGGTCCGACGGGACTAGCTTACGCGAACAGAGGCAGAAGTGTCCGCCTCCAGTATGCTCCGAACACACACCTAGGATTGCGTGGGCTATTTAGGAAGGATTTTTGAGGGAGTTAGGAGGGAAATTTAAATGTATTGACTGTTTAGGGATTTCCTTTTGATTTGTATGCATTAAATAGTTTGTTTTCCTAGGGTTAGGACATCTGGAATTTGGCTGAAATTTGAGATCTCATAGGTTTTCTTTAGGCTCTAGCAGCATCTAAAGATTTGGGAGAGATTGATCCTCCTCTCGAATAGAGTATCAATTGTATCTTATTATTTTCTCCCGTAGTTTGTTTTCTTGCAATAAAATTACTATTTTTCACTGGTTTTCCATTAGAATTGTGGAGATTTCTCGCTGTTTTTGCTCTCTTGATAGGATTTACTTGAAATCTTCAAGTGTTTCCTATCACATTCATAATATGAGATTATAAAACAAGAATATATTTAACTTGAAATAGACCCTTCCTTGATTAACTTGAACTAGACCCTTCCTTGACCCTGCCTTGATAGGAACGTTATGAATTGGATCTGCCTTGTCATAGTTGCACGAAAACACTATACTGTGGTAGCTTGTGTGCACAGGGTGTTATTCATAACAATTGCAATAATAAAAGGAGAATACCAGCATCAGAAGTTTATTTGCACCGTCAGCAACAGTTGCAAAGCTTTCAAATTGATCAGGATTAAAGTCATTTAAAGCAGCAGTAAGGTACTCTCCAGCAGGTGTTTTTGGTTTATCAATTTTCACAATAGCACCCATTATCTCTGTTTTATCCTGGGATGACAACGAAAAAACATCCATGGAACGTGTTTTAGCATTTTCACTCCTGAAAAAACAGATAATAAAATATGTCAAATAAAAAGAAATAAAAAAAAGGAGTCGAATTATGTTTAAAGCTACATTTTCGCTAAAACACCACACCTGTTCCTGTCTCCTGTCTGTGAGGAATCCAGTCTTTTGACAGAAGGGCTTGACAACTGAAAGAAATATACAAATCATTAATCTGCTCTGCTAATGCTCATAAAGTAAAACCACATACTCAACAAAAGCGCTTCATAAGCCCAGAAACTCCAGCATACTGCATGTACGTTTCATGGACACTTCAACAAGTAATGAAAGCCAATTAAACGGGAAAAAGACCCCAAGCGAGCATGCTCTAATGCATAAAGAACGGTACATGTTAAAATAAAATAAATAAAACTATGTGAAGCCAATGAAAGCAAAGAAAATT